ATCAATTCAACTTTGAACTAACTAACTACTCTACTTTTCAGACCTAACCCCCCTCTTTCAAAACCACTCCTCTTTTCAAACTACTCTTTTTATATTTAAAAAAACGAAATGGGGTTTTGATTTTTTGTGTATTTTATAATTCATTCTATAAATATTGAATATTGAATTTTGAATATTAAATCTTATATAAAATTTATATTTGGATTTATATTATAGATTATAAATACTATATATATATATATAAGTAATAGTTATTAGCTTATTAGCTTATTTATATACGAGTATTACTCTAAGTACTAGAAATACTAGTATTATAATTTTACGAGTATAATAGTGATTTTATTTTTTATATAAAAAGTTACTATTATAAGTTTAAAATATGAAATTTTGATTTTATATATAATTTACTCGAGATATACGAAATATTATAGAAATTTTAATATCACAGGTTTATTACATATAACTATTTATACCTACTTGCACCTATCTATATCTATCTATACTTATCTATACCTATTATATATATACTACCTATTCTTAATTAACTCGAATAAATGCCTTAGATATCTATTCACTATATAATCAATATCACTTTATATATCTCCTTTTTTCTTTATTAAATATTAAATATTTTATCTAATTTCTATCAGTACTCATACTAACTTTATAATAATATATTCGATCTTTCAAAAGACTTTATTATTGATAATAGTCTAGCTTCAATATAGAAAATACTAATTTCATTACTTGACGTTTTTTTCGAAATTTGCTTACCTTACTTGAAACTATTATTAAAGAATATTATATTAAATATATAATCTAATTGATTATTAAAGAATAATTTAATATCGAATATATAGTCCAATTAATTATTGAGAAATAACTTAATTATATTCATAATAATCTCCTTGTCCAGTAATATCGATTTCAAGAAATATACAACTCTACTACATCTACTAAAAAAAAGTAAATATAATACTGATTGACGCTAACATAAGCT